ACCTGTAGGCACTGTGTCCTCAATCACCTCCGGAGCCGGAGTGGATTCACCTGGTGCCTGCTCCTGAGGAGCCGGCACAGGTGCAGGCGCTTCAGATCCAAGGCCCTGCCCCAGCTCAGCCGGCCCTGGAGGCGGGGACTCCTGTGCAGACTGGGATTCCTCCGGCTCATCCTCTGAATCGGACTCCCAGGCCATCACAGGCAGGTTCTGGAACACTCAGAGCTGACCTGCTGCACAGTGAGGCACCGACAGCAATGAGAAGCACCCACTCCATCTCCCATAAGTGCACCTGACTCAGAGGCCTCGGCTGCTTGCCTTTATATGCTGAAGAAGGGGGACTTCAAGTCAGCAGGCCTCCCTGACACTTGACGCCAAGTGCACTTGGCACAGTCACTTGTATTCTGACGAGTGGCACCTGGAGAGCTCAGCTGGATAGAGTGTGGTGCCAATAATGGCAAGGTTGCAGGTTCGATCCCCGTGTGAGACAGCTGCATAGTCCTTGCATAGTTGCAAGGGGTTGGACTAGATCAGGCACGTACAACTCTCTAGCGACTGCGATCTGCTCCCAGTATAATAAAACTGGCAGTGATCTACCCATCCTCATTGCCCATTGTTATGTACTGAGTTGAATAGGATCCAAAGGTCCTAGAACAATATTGTCCTAGAACAATAGGGTCCAGAATGCAGCAGTCTGATTGGTCCTAGAACAATAGGGTCCAGAATGCAGCAGTCTGATTGGTCCTAGAGCAATAGGATTCAGAATGCAGCAGCCTGATTGGTCCTAGAACAATAGGACCCAGAATGCAGCAGTCTGATTGGTCTTGGAACAATAGGGTCCAGAATGCAGCAGTCTGATTGGTCCACAGGAGCCACCCAATCCAGCTCCAGGTGGAAGTGAATCCCCAATCTGATTGGTCTATAGGAGAATCCTGGAATTAGCCAATCACGTGGGGCCCATTGTGAAAATAATGTATTTAAAGCAGACATTCTGGGGGAACTTCCATTCCTCCTCACCACTGAATAAAGAGCATGAAATCCACTCTCAACTCCGAGTATAGTTGTTGAGCTTTTTTTTGGGGGGGGCACCATCATTATTCAGCTTTTTCGGGGGGAAGGTGTTGTTACCATAGCTGTTCAGCTTTATGGAACAAAATTGATAGCCAAACAGTCTGCTGAACCTCCCTCCTTCCCACCCTCTGACGCTGATGCAGGGAAAACAACCTTGCAAAGTTGCGCCGGCAATGGCACATAGCGCCCGGGGAACGTAGCAATCGCCTTCTTTTTCCCTTTCTCCTTCCGTGATGGAACTCTATTTGGGGACTTCCCTGGCTTTTTTCTGGCCCAGTCTGGATAGTTAGCCTTGGTGAAAACTTAACGTTTTCATCCCCCCAAAAGTTTTTGAGTTTCTGCTGAAATGAGGCTGCATTTTAATGTTGTATTTTAATCTTGTTTTTTAAGTTGTATTTCAATCAATTGTTTTATATCTGGTGCTAGCTGCCCTGAGCCCGGTCTTGGCTGGGGAGGGCAGGGTATAAAAAAATTATTATTATTATTATTATTATTATTATTATTAAATTAATTTTAGAATGAATGATTTTAGAGTGTTGTTTATGCTGTACTTTTGTACTGTTTTATTGTTGTTAGCCGCCCTGAGCCCGGCTAAGGCTGGGGAGGGCGGGATATAAATAAAATTTATTATTATTATATTATTAACTGAGATTCAGAAGCATTGCTGTCTGCAACTGTGGAGGCAGAGCAGAGCCATCAAAGGTAGTAGCCATTGGTAGGCCTCTCCTCCTCCATGGATTTGCCTAATGCTCTTCTAAAGCCATCTAAGTTGGTGGCCATCACCGTCTCCTGTGGCAGAGAGTTCCACTGTTCCACTATGCGCTGAGTGAAGAAGTGCACAGCATCTTAGAGGACAAAGGCCACTTTCACAGAGCATTTAGCACATGGAGAACGCCGTAGGGCTCAGGGCAAGCGCCAAGGCCAGAGGTCTTCACTGCTTGTTTTGCCATTCGCGCAGGATCGCTCCCCACCTCGTCTTTTCAGGCCGCCCTCCTTAAATAAGGACACACAGAGAGATGGAAGGCGTTGCTGGCAAAGGCTGGTGCGCTTTATTCAAAGCAGTGCAAGGAGATAAGCCAGGAGCAGAAGGGGGAATGGATTTTTAAACAGGCTTTTGTAATTCCTTTAGACTTACATGAAATCAGCTTCAGGTTATGAATGAAAATGGCATGCGTGAGGGTTCAGGAAACAGACTATCGTCTCATGCACGACAAATACAAATGAGGAGAGTGTCCTGAGAGCAAGAAGCCTCATCAAAGAGACGTGGGCATTTCTTCGTATCGACCAGGGAATCTTTACTTGCTAACTCAAAAGACTTGCACACCACCTACGGCTGTTCTCCCACAACTGTTCGCCCGCCCACTCCCGGTGGGTACAACAAAACCACACCGTAATTTTAATCAGATTACATTCACAATGAATTACAAAGATACAATTGCAATAAAAAACCGTAAATGCTGCCTTCAAACGATGCAATTGAGCACAACACACAGCTGAGAGCCGAACTACATTTTCTAGGGGTGGCCTAAAGGCATCTCAAAACAAAGTTGATTGTGTGTGGGGGAGAGAAGACCCTGTTCCCTGCTGCAAACGGAAGCAAGATGAGAAAGTGGGGGACTCCCAGACCCACAGTGTTATGAGTTTGAGGGGCAGGGGGTTAGGCTGGAAGTCTAGGCTCCCTTCTGATTCCTGGAATAAGTCAAGCTAGCTTTCCGGTGAGATGATGGGGCGTCAAGAGGAACAAAGGAAGGGGCTCTATGCGAGATGGCAAATGGGGGAAGCCGCTGGAAAGACCAAGCCAGAGTTGAGAGCAGAGGGTCTGAAGTGATGTGAACGAGAGGAAAAGCAGCAGGCTGCAATCCAAGAAAGACAGAGCCGTGCTTGATTTCTGCTGAAACCCAAGGCTGTGTCCATGGGAGAAGCAAGACCTTCCTGAGGTGTGAATTCTGGGAGGCCTTCCATCATAGGCTTGGGTTGTATACATGTGTAAATAAGCCTAATAATAATAATTTATTATTTGTACGCTGCCCATCTGGCTGGGTCTCCCCAGCCACTCTGGGCAACTTCCAACAAAGATTAAAAGTACATTAAAATGTCACACATTAAAAGCTTCCCTAAACAGGGCTGCCTTCAGATGCCTTCTAAATGTCAGGTAGTTGTTTATCTCTTTGACATCTGACGGGAGGGCATTCTACAGGGTGGGCGCCACTACCAAAAAGGCCCTCTGCCTGGTGCCTGTAGCTTTGCTTCTCACGGGGAGGGAACCGCCAGAAGGTCCTCGGTGCTGGACCTCAGTGTCTGGGTAGAACAATGGGGGTGGAGACGCTCCTTCAGGTATACTGGGCCGAGGCCGTTTAGGGCTTTCAAGGTCAGCCCCAACACTTTGAATTGTGCTCGGAAAAGTACTGGGAGCCAATGTAGGTCTTTCAAGACCGGTGTTATGTGGTCTCGGCGGCCACTCCCAGTCACCAGTCTAGCTGCTGCATTCTGGATTAGTTGTAGTTTCCAAGTCACCTTCAAAGGTAGCCCCACGTAGAGCGCATTGCAGTAGTCCAAGCGGGAGATAACTATATATCCTACAGTCTCTGCTGTGCCTCATTCCAAAGGAAACTCAGACCCTGGACAAGCGCCAGAACCACAGATCCATCACCTCTGAGCTCAAGGGATTAAATGTGGGGGCATTTGAATGGTGTGTTTGTGTGTGAATAAAATAAAGTGTCAGAAAGTTTTGCAAGACAGCCAGCATCGTGTGTTGAGGGAGCTGAGCTAGAACCCCTGAGCCAGCCCGCTTTAATCTAAAAGGCTACCTACTTAAGATCAAGTAAGGTGAGTTAAAGGTAAAGGGACCCCTAACCATTAGGTCCAGTCATGACTGACTCTGGGGTTGCGGCGCTCATCTCGCTTTGCTGGCCGAGGGAGCCGCGTCAGCTTCCGGGTCATGTGGCCAGCATGACTAAGCTGCTTCTGGCGAACCAGAGCAGCGCATGGAAACGCCGTTGACCTTCCCGCTGGAGTGGTACCTATTTATCTACTTGCACTTTGACGGGCTTTCGAGCTGCTAGGTTGGCAGGAGCAGGGACTGAGCAACAGGAGCTCACCCCGTCATGGGGATTCGAACCGCCAACCTTCTGATCGGCAAGTCCTAGGCTCTGTGGTTTAGACCACAGCACCGTCCATTAACACCTTTTAAGCACAAGGCGAGAGGAGGGATTTCTCCGTTTCAGTTCACTGCTTTGGCGAAAGGGGAATCCCATTCTGCTTCAATGATTGCGTGCACAGAACCAAGAGGATGGAGTTATTCTAGGTCGGTGAGCCCAGATCATGACGCTTGAATAAGTGGCGCGAGATGCAGAGGCAAAGGATCTCAGCTCAGGGACAGGACACCTGGTGTACATGCAGAAGGTCCCAGAGGGCTTAGGAGAGATTTTGCCCTGACCGAGACCCTGGAGGTCTGCTGCCTGTTAGAGGAGCTAAGATGTAGCTGAGCTGATGGCCCAGCTGAGAGTAACGTAGTTTCATATGGATGCTTTGGTTGCGATTCCTGCATTGCAGGGGATTGAACTAGATGGCCCCTGAAGGTCCCTTCCAATTCTACAATTCCATGATTCTGTCATGGACTGGTTGTACGCAGAGGAACGGTTGGAGGAATCAGCTGGGAAATGATGGGTGGTTAGGGGGAGAAGGAGGAGAAGGCTGGAAGAGGAGGTGTTGGAAGCTGGAAAGGCAACAGGGCTTAGTGAGCTGGGAGAGTCTGTGGCAGACAGAAGTCCGGAATCAGAGGCAGAAGATGAAGCCGAAGAGGGAGGCCGAGAAGCAGAGATGAGTCAAGCTGATGAAGAGTCATGGGGGTCTCCCCCTCCTGCTGCGACAAGCTCCCCTTCCCGCTTCTCTCCCAGAACCAGAAGTGGTATGAAGAGGGCAGAGAAGTCAGCTTCACGCAGGCACAGTCTCCGATTGCTTGGAGGAAACTCTGGAGAGGACAGGGACTTTCAGTCTCGGCAACTGATCCATGGGGAAAGACCTACCAGGGATGAGCTGCTATGCTCGTTAAGCCTGTCACTCAGCCAAGTCAGATCATGTTCTTGCTAATAAAGAGTGAACTCCCACTTGAACGGTGTGATTTCCTTTCAGCTCTCTCCAGACAGATCCTATGTTCCAGGCTGCACTCCTATGACTCCCTGCCCCTATGCCAATCTTTATGCACTATTTTTTTTTATCAGCCTTCTCTTCTCCTAATTAATCTGCCTCTCTCTCTTACACACACTCACACAAGCGCACAGACTGCCCCTCCATGGTTTCCAAGGCTAAACATCTCCGGGAATCCCCGGGTTGCTCCATCCACCACTGATGGAAAGCCGCCATTTCTCCGTTGGAGAGATCCAGACCAGGGTTAAGCAGCAGTCTCAAGGGCAGGACAGGAGATGTGGGGGAAGGAGGAGGGTCTTCCTGGAGATCAGAGGTAAGCATTCAGGGTGGGCGGGAGGGCCGTAGGACGTTTTGCTTTGTGAAAAGAGCTAAGAGGGATCAAGACCTACGGCGAAACGAAGAATAAAATTACATTCCAAACAAGAACAACAGCAAAAAATGAAATGGAACAAAACACCCCGCTTCCAAAATGAAAATAGGGACCCCCGTCCTCCACACTTGAAAGCCTCTCAAGGAGTTGGTTCCTTCCATGAGAGGTGGCAGGATTCGAACCAGACATTTGCAGCTGTATAAAGTACTGCCAGGGGGCAAGGAGTGCCTGCTGCCAGCTGATCTCAGCCAGAAGGATCCTTTTGTGAAAGAGGTTCATTAAGACTATGGGGTTCTGGGCCAGCCCTGAAGGTCTTTTGGTGCTCTGTCGGTTTGCATTTCCTAGTGCAGAAAGTATTGATCTGATGTGTAGAGATCTTTCCTATTCTAATTGATTCAAGGGGGTTCTGGAAGCTTCTCTGTGTGAAAGAAACAAGCAGAAGGTTCCTGATGTTTGGGTTATTCCTTCCGAGAAGATGAGTACAGCTGCCTTAAACTGGTCCTGCAAGCTCTTCTGTCAAGATCATTCTGACTATAATACAGTCATATCTCATGTTACGTCCGCTTCATTTTACGTTCTTTCAGATTACGTCCCGCGGCGACCCGGAAGTACCGGAAAGGGTTACTTCCGGGTTTCGCCGCTCGAACATGCACAGAAGCGCAAAATGATGTCACGTGCATGCGCAGAAGCGGCGAATGACAATCGCCACTGCGGGTTGTGCTCTTTTCATGTTGTGAACAGGCCTCTGGAATGGATCCCATTTGCAACCACAGGTACCACTGTAGCGAGGCCAGAAGGAGCCCGGGTTTCACTTTCTCTATCTCGTTTCCTTCTGGTGTGGTGTTCTGTACATAGTATGCTTAGCGTTAAGGTTTAGACTTATTATAAGTTATTGTAAGTTTAAGTTAAGTTTGCTGCAACCAGATTTCTTATGGACAGGGCCAATCCTGAATGTATTGGATTTGTGACCAATACACTTGCCTTCCGTAGCAGTAAAGCTCTGCTGGATGAAATACAATGGCCTCTGGTCTATTTTTTGGGAATCCTGCAACGTGATTAAGTTTTGGCTCTGCTAATTATGTACTGGAGTTCAGCTGTGGATCACTAAAGGCAAAAGTAAAGGGACTCCTGACCATTAGGTCCAGTTGTGACCAACTCTGGGGTTGCGGTGCTCATCTCGCTTTATTGGCCGAGGGAGCCGGCGTACAACTTCCGGGTCATGTGGTCAGCAGGACTAAGCCACTTCTGGCGAACCAGAGCAGTGCACGGAAACGCCGTTTACCTTCCCGCTGGAGCGGTACCTATTTATCTATTTGCACTTTGATGTGCTTTCGAACTGCTAGGTTGGCAGGAGCAGGGACTGAGCAACGGGAACTCACCCCATCATGGGGATTCGAAGCACCGACCTTCTGATTGGCAAGTCTTAGGCTCTGTGGTTTAACCCACAGCGCCACCCGCGTACCATCTGTGGATCACTACTGAGTAGAAATTCCATGACGCCATTTACATCCTCTGAGAAACCCCCGTTTGTTTCAGTGGAAGTCAGGTTGTATGTGAACCTAGAACACCCTTTTTTTTCCAAAGGAAATCACCCGAGTTACACAAAAGGGTTCTCTTATATGAGCGTATGGTGGTAAATGCAGAGGCCTCCCCAAGCCACCCTGACTCTTGCCCACTAGACTCACAGGTCGAGAGGGTGAGGGTACTTGTCCTTTTCCTTCACGGGGATCACGAAATACGGAACGCGGTGCACCGTCCCGGTCTTGTCCATGTAATGCTCACGATGCATCTGAGCGAGCTGCAGGTGAAACACCAACACGTTACGGGTATAAGGGTCAGGCCACGGGCGAGAGACTGAATTAAGCTGCAACCAGGATAACAATAACAACAATAATAAAATTTTATTTATACCCCACCCTCCCCAGCCAAGACTGGGCTTATTATTATTATTATTATTATTATTATTATTATTCATCCATAGATCTCAGGGTGGTTCACAACATTAAAGTGCAATATAACCTATACCCAATGCATAATATAAAGAGGAGCAAAAATAAACCAATGAATGTTGCTTTCTGTTCTTCGGAGGAAAGATGGGATAAAAACCTAGCAGAGACTGCATGGTTCCATTTCCTTGCCCGAGCATTTGCTAATAATAATAATAATAATAATAATAATAATAATAATTGCGTGGCTATTCCCTCCCCCTCCACAGGTGGAATAAATAAAGACACCGGACACAAGCAATTAGGTTAATGGGCGAAAACGGCCACAACTTTATTGATTACAGGTAAGAGGGGTATTGGCTTTAGGCATTGGCCCTAACAGACTATCCGGACTAACCGGGAAGGGTTAAGCACCAACAGGGGGAGCCCCCGAGATGCATATCCCTAGGCGCTCCCCAAGGGGTTACCACTCGGGGGCGCGCTTTAGGCCCTAGCCTCCGTAGGTTTCGGACGAGGCGACGCCCCTCGGAGTCCTTTAACGAACTACCCTTCAAGCATTGGGGGAGGTGGTGGCGTTCCTCCCCCCCGATCTCATTTGCATGACAAAACCCCGGCCAATGCCTACCGCCAAAACCAAGAGAGTTGTGACGTATTTTTGCTACGAGGTAGGCGAAAAAACCAAGTGGCATCAAATTCCAGCCAATTAGCCAAATGGAAAAACTCCTACCAGGCCCCTTGCGGCGACCAGCCGAAGCCCATAGCAAAGTCACGGGCAAGCCTAAAGGGCGGGTGGGTGGGAAATCGCGTCTGCTGACGAGGAAAAAAGGGGCGAGCCAGGGCTGCCCCGACCTTAAGTGGCCTCTGGACGGCCCGCCCCCGCCGCCAGCCGATTGGCTGGCACTGCGGGGAATGCAAATTAAGGGAATTCCTGCTTCCCGCGAGGCTGGCGATGGCCCCGCGGGAGTGTGGGCGGGGTCGTGAGCCCGCAACCCCCCCTCCTGAAGTTCGGAAGTGGCATAATAATAATAATAATAATAGTTTATTATTTATACCCCCCTTCTGGCTGGGTTTCCCTAGCCACTCTGGGCGGCTTCCAACAGAATATTAAAATACAATAACCTATTAAAAGCTTCCCTAAACAGGGCTGCCTTCAGATGTCTTCTAAATGTCAGGTAGTTATTTTTCTCTTTGACATCTGGTGGGAGGGCATTCCACAGGGTGGGCGCCACGACCAAGGCCCTCTGCCTGGTTCGCTGTAACCTTACTTCTCACAATGAGGGAACTGCCAGAAGGCCCTCGGCGCTGGACCTCAGTGTCCGGGCAGAACGATGGGGGTGGAGACGCTCCTTCAGGTATACTGGACCGAGTCCTTGAAACACTCTCTTGCTTGGGCCATCTGAAGTGACCCCACACAGCCTGTCATCAGTCCTGCCCCGTGGAACAACAGCGCCTTCCTTCCTTTAAGAAGAGCTTGCAGGATAAGGCCCCAGGGGGGACGATCTCGCAGTGGCGAGCCAGCTTCCTGCGAAAACCCACGAACAGGATCCAGGCAGGAGAGTCCTTCCTCCTCCTGCAATTTCCAGCAAGTGCTACCCAGAAGAATGGCTGCCTTCAACTGTGGAGGCAGCACATAGTCATCATGGCTAACATCCATTGATAGCCCGCTCCTGTATTCATTTCTCTAATCCTCTTTTCTATCCTTCTTTGCTTATTCCAGGCAGTCAGATCCAAGACCGGTGGGCTGTGATGGGTGCTCCTGAGCGATGTGCCTGTGGTCAGTCAGGACACGGGTGGCACAGGGTAGTCTGTTGGCGGGCAGACAGGTGGTCCTCTTTTTAGGCTAGGTGGGCATCAACTAGACAGCAAGGTTTGCTTCCTTTCTGCTCCCCCCATATTTTCCCGCAGGCAAAGGGAGCTTTGCATAATCCGCTGCGTCACGGACAAATGAGATAGTCCGTTAAAACACATGCAGATGCACTAAAAATCAAAGGAACAACCACATGTTTTCTGATTTGCTCTACGAAAGGGGAAAAGGCTGCTGGAAACCCACTCTGTGGTCTTTTGAAGCTTCCTCTGCAATTGATTGTGAGAATTTGGTTTCAGCAGGCAGAAATGAGCTCTGCTCAGCTATTGTCTCAGCTGCTGAGGTGTTGGGGGCATTCTGGTGGCTTTGAAGTTGTGGAAAAACCTGCTGGCACCTGAGCTATTAGGGAGTGTGTGAGAGAAAGAGAAGGAAGCAGCACTGCATTTCAGGTGGATGGCGTAAATGGATTTGTGCGCACAAGGGAGGGAAATGTGAAGCAGGTGAGCGACTGAAGCAGAAAAGTGAACGTGCAGTTGCACGCGACCCCAGGCTCCGAGCGGCGTGAGATTCCAGGGGTTTGTGATTCCTTTTGGAATGAGGCGCAGCGGAGACTTTGGTGCCTTTAGGATCTATGGTTTAATTGCACATAACTACAACTTGAGGAGACTCTTGAGAGTCCCATGGACTACAAGAAGATCCAACCTCTCCATTCTTAAGGAAATCAGCCCTGAGTGCTCACTGGAAGGACAGATCCTGAAGCTGAGGCTCCAAGACTTTGGCCACCTCATGAGAAGAGAAGACTCCCTGGAAAAGACCCTGATGTTGGGAAAGATGGAGGGCACAAGAAGGGGACGACGGAGGATGAGATGGTGGGACAGTGTTCTCAAAGCTACGAACATGAGTTTGACCAAACTGCGGGAGGCAGTGGAAGACAGGAGGGCCTGGCATGCTCTGGTCCAGGGGGTTGGACACAACTAAATGACTAAACAACAACAACCTGAGCCTACGATGGAGGGGTGATTGCAGGGCCAGATTTAGGCTGGATGAGGCCCTAAGCTACTGAAAGTAATGGGGCCCTTTATATGTCTAGCTGTCCTTTGCCAACAACAAATTGCCACTGTTTTTTGTGTTGAATATAGAGTCATACCTTGGGTTGAAGTAGCTTCGGGATAAGTATTTTTGGGTCGCGCGCTGCGGCGACCCGGAAGCAATGGAGCGTATTACTTCCTGGTTTCGCTGCTTGCGCATGTGCAGATGGTCAAAATGACATCACGCGCATGCGCGGAAGCGACGAATCGCAATCCATGCATGCGCAGACGCACAGATGCAGGTTGCGTTCGCTTCTGGATGCGAACGGGGCTCCGGAATGGATCCCGTTCGCATCCAGAGGTATCACTGTATGCTATATGGTAAGATATGGACCTAATAGTTATCTAAAGCCACTTGCATATAACAAAATATGTATCTTATCAAAGTAATTGTTGAACTTACATTATATTTTGGAAATGTACATCTAGGTGTTTTTTCCCTTTAATTTTTTTTTGGGGGGGCCAAGAAAGTGGGGCCCTAAGCTATAGCTTGTTTAGCTTATACGTAAGTCTGGCACTGGGTGATTGGGAGAAGGAAATACAGCCTGCAAGGAAAGCACCCCCACCTGCTCCAGTCAAAATCACAGTTTTCCAAGGCCCCATTAAATTGTTCATCCCAGATGCTGAGCAGGAGGAGGGACCATCACTCCCAAACTGTGCAATGAGCTCGTTGTGACATGAGGTCACTGACAGGCAGGCTGCCCGCCTATCGAACTCGGAATCATAGAGCAAGAAGGAGACCCAGGGGTTATCTAGCGCAAGCCTTGGCTACGCAGGAACTTGGACTGTGTGACTGTGTGGAAATAAGGTTCTGGCCCAGCCTGGCTGGATCCACTTCCCCACCCACCTATCTAGACCAGCTCCGACAAATAAAAGGAAGATCTGAATAAATAGTGTCCGTTCTCAGATCATTAATTCTGGCTACCCACTCTTCATTATTTATAGCTTGCGTAACTGCTGTGGACTTGCTTAACGCTGGGGAAAGGAGAAAGAGACTCTGCTCCGGGTTCGAGAGACAGAGATAACGCAGCTGAGCTTGGCACGGGAGGCAGGCAGGGAGGGAGGGGTGTCTGGCTCCTGGATCCCAGAAGGCAGCACGATCCACCAGCAGACTTTCCACAAATCCACCAGGACCACCCACACGCCCTCACTGCACAGCCAAGACGCAGCCCTTCTGTTGCTGTTGATTCCTTTGCAAACATGAAACGACAAGGAGCTATAAGCAAGAGAGAGGGCTCAGCGGGACTTCTTTCTGGGTTGTGTTTGTCTAGCCACAGGTGTGCGCTTTAAAGCACTTTTTAAAAAAACGCCCCAGTGTTTTCCCTATGAAAACCCACTCTTCGCCGCTGAATCGGAGCAAACAGCAACCTGCAGAAAATTCCGAATTGCCGCTTGTTTCGGTGCAGCATTAAAGAATGGGTTTTTGCGGGGAGGGTGCCGGGGCAAAAACACACACACAAACAAGCGCTTTGAGACAGATCTTTAAAGCACAGACAGGGCAAAAGGTACGTGTGGATGATCCCATAGTCAGGGAGGGTGGCTTGTTGGCCTCCAGGGGGGGTGCCAATGGCGAGGAGGATGCTGGCCCAGGTGGGTCCTGATCCAGCGGGGCTCTTCTTCCGTTCTTAAGCGATCCGAGTGGATTAGCTGGTCACGCCGTTTGCAAAGTGAGTTTGCAGGGGACCCTGGGGAGCAGTCCCTTGGGGATATGTTTTGGGTTGGGCTGCCATCAGTATGCCGATGACACCCAACTCTATCTGTTGATGGATGGCCATCCTGACTCGGCCCCAGACACACTGATCAGATGTTTGGAAGCTGTGGCTGGATGGTTACGTGGGAGTTAAATCCTTGAAGTTAAATCCTTTGGCTGGGTCGGGACGATATGGGATTGGGGGGGCAACTCCCATCTCTTGCAGGGGCGCAATCAGTGCCAGCACCGTCCGTTAAGAGTTTGGGTGTAATCTTCGACACCTCCCTTTCCATGGAAGCGCAGATTGCAGCTACAACAAAGGCGGCATTTTTTCATCTCCGCCAAGCTAAGCAGTTGGCTCCTTACCTCTCTCGCCTTGACCTAGCCACTGTGATCCACGCGACGGTCACCTCCAGACTGGATTACTGTAACTTGCTCTACATGGGGCTGCCCTTGAGACTGACCCAGAAACTCCAGCGGGTGCAGAATGCCGCGGCGAGACTCCTTATAGGGTCCTCGCTGCGAGATCACATTCACCTGGTGCTATACCAGCTGCACTGGCTCCCAGTGGGGTACAGGATCAGGTTTAAGGTGCTGGTTTTAACCTTTAAAGCCCTATATGGCCTAGGACCCTCGTACCCACGGGACCACCTCTCCTGGTATGCCCCACGGAGGACCTTACGGTCTTCAAACAAAAACGTCTTGGAGGTCCCGGGCCACAGGGAGGTTAGGCTGGCCTCAGCCAGAGCCAGGGCTTTTTCGGCTGTGGCCCCAATCTGGTGGAACACTCTGTCCCAAGAGACTAGGGCCCTGCGGGACTTGACATCTTTCCACAGGACCTGCAAGACGGAGCTGTTCCACCTGGCCTTTGGCCAAGGCGCAGTCTGACCCCCTCCTTCGGCAATCCTCACAGAACTCTAGCCCAATAAAAAGGTAAAGGTACCCTTGCCCGTACGGGCCAGTCTTGCCAGACTCTAGGGTTGTGCGCCCATCTCACTCTATAGGCCGGGGGCCAGCGCTGTCCGCACACACTTCCGCGTCACGTGGCCAGTGTGACAAAGCTGCATCTGGCGGATCTTAACTGATGCAAAAGATAGAGGGGGGTTTGCCCTGCCGGACTTGAGACTTTATTATGAATCGGCAGCATTTTGCTGGCTGAAACAATGGCTGCTTCTTGAGAACACAGACATTTTGGATCTGGAAGGGTACGACAACAGATTTGGTTGGCATGCATATATATGGTACAACAAGGTAAAAATACATAAAGGTTTTAAAAACCATATTGTTAGGAAAGCACTATACAATGTTTGGATAAGATACAAAGATCTACTGGAAAGTAAAACTCCCAGGTGGCTATCACCAATGGAAGCTAAAGAGACAAAAAAACTTAATATGGAGTCCAAATGGCCAAAATATTGCGAAATCTTAGAGCAAGATGGTGAAAGGGTTAAATTACAGAGTTATGACAAATTAAAGTCTAAAGTACGAGATTGGTTGCACTACCTTCAGATAAACGAGGTATTTAAACAGGACAGGAAAATAGGTTTTCAGATGGAGAGGTCGAAATTAGAAACAGAATTGTTAGAACCCAATACTAAGAACTTGTCAAGAATGTATAATTTGCTGCTGAAATGGAATACACAAGATGAAACAGTAAAATCAGCTATGATCAAATGGGCACAAGACATAGGTCATGACATTATGTTTGATGACTGGGAAAGGTTATGGAATACTGGTGTTAGATTTACGGCTTGTAATGCTTTGAGAGAAAACATAATGAAAATGATCTACAGGTGGTACATGACCCCAGTCAAACTTGCAAAAATTTATCATTTGCCCAATAATAAATGTTGGAAATGTAATGAGACTGAAGGTACTTTCTATCACCTTTGGTGGACCTGCCCGAAGATTAAAGCCTACTGGGAAATGATCTATAATGAAATTAAAAAGGTCCTTAAATGGACATTTTCTAAAAAACCAGAGGCTTTTCTCCTGGGCATGGTGGGCCAATTGGTGCCAAGGAAGGACAGAACTTTCTTTATGTATGCTAGCACAGCAGCAAGAATTCTTCTGGCAAAGTATTGGAAGACGCAGCAGCTACCCACTCTGGAAGAATGGCAAGCGAAGGTGATTGACTACATGGGAATGGCAGAGATGACCGGCAGAATCCGTGACCAGGGGAGCGAGACAGTGGAAGAAGATTGGGAGAAATTTAAAACATACCTTAAAAATTGTTGTAACATTGAGGAGTGCTGAGATGTTATGGTGTTAAGAAACAGAGAATTGCAGCTGTAAATCATAAATTTAAGGGAATTATAAAGAAGATGAGTTAATTAATTAAATGGAGGGTTGCTGTTAAAAGGAAAAATAAGGAGGCAGAAAAAGGGAGGTATGGGGAAGTCCGGGAAATAAGGTGAAGGAAAATGAGTTTATGAAATTATACATGTTTATTTGTTTGTACGTTTTGTTTTGTTTTACTGTTTGTTTTTATTACATGTTTGGAAAATTAATAAAAATTATTTTTTTTTAAAAAAAAAAGCTGCATCTGGCGAGCCAGCGCAGCACACGGAACACCGTTTACCTTCCCGCTGGTAAGCGGTCCCTATTCATCTACTTGCACCCGGGGGTGCTTTCGAACTGCTAGGTTGGCAGGCGCTGGGACTGAAGGACGGGAGCGCACCCCGCTGCGGGGATTCGAACCGCCGACCATGCGATCGGCAAGTCCTAGGCGCTGAGGTTTTACCCACAGCGCCACCCGTGTCCCTCTTCTAGCCCAATGGTTGCCATTAATTTGATATGAACTGATTTTATAATGAATTGATTTTAGAATGCTGTATTATTTTACGTTTGTTAGCCGCTCTGAGCCCGGCTTTGGCTGGGGAAGGCAGGATATAAATAATAATAATAATAATAATAATAATAATAATAATAATAATGTGAGCGGCACAGCAGATCTTCCCCAAATGAGGACCTGCCGGCCACAGCAATGTTCCCTGCAAGAGTGTGGGGTGTATTCTAGGGCACAGTCTCAGTTCACTACGGGTGAAACAAGAGGGCAAAAGGACTGGTGTTACATCTGGTCATAATCCTTTGTGACAAGCAGAGCATGAGACTCTGTATCTCAGGGCTGCGGGTTCGAGCCCCACGCTGGGCAAATGATTCCTGCACGGCCCTCGTGTACAATACTATGGTTTCCGGTGTGGGTTCAATGGCCACATGGGGTGACGGCGGATCCAGACCTCCTGCCTTACCTTGTAGAACTCCTTCAGTTCCGCCGTGCGGTTGATATCCAAATTGAAGCGAGTGTAGTTGGGGGTGTGCAGCCAGCGGTCCCACCCCCTGGCCCTCGCCCCAATCACCAGGCCGGGGTCAGGAGAGAAGAGGGTGGGGAACTGGCCCCCTTTGCTGTAGGGGCCGCCGCAGGTTTCCATGGCGGCACTTCGGAAATCTTGGAAGTACTTCATGGTGGTGTTGCCATAGGTGTCCCCAAAGGAAAAGGCCACGTTGGGGACATGGCCGCGATACCTGGAGGGGGGGAAAGGTGGAAGGTGAGCAAAACTGGGGAAGAAGAGCCCAAACAATTGCCATTATCTCTTTTTGAAAAATCACTCCCCCAGCTCTCCTAATAAGGGCAGCGCTTTGCAATCACCGCCACAACAACCACAAGTAATGATGCAGAAACCAAGGAAAGCAGCAATCGGATCAATGCCGGAACAAACAATTTCTATACCTGCGGAAAGGATCTTTCTCCCTAGGGAAGAGGCAACAAGGGGCAAACTAAGAACGGCTGTGCACCCAGAAGGGGCTGTTGCCGATATTCCAAATGGCTGGACTCATCAAAAGATACTGGTTTTTTGAAAATATGTATGTTATTGTGCGTGTCCGATATCAAGTGTCAGGGAGTTCCAAAGTTATTGTGCTGCCACACTAAGGAACCACAAAGCCCAACCCCAACTACAATGCGGACTAAACAAGGATGTGCCAAAGCGCAGCCAAGGTGCCTGCCTGATATCAAGTGGCAGGGAGTTCCAAAGTTCCTGTGCTGCCACACTAAGGAACCACAAGGCTGGGCGGGACCCTCAGAGTTCATCCAGCCCAGCCCCCTGACTGCGATGCAGAATAAACAATGATGTTTTGAAGCTCAGCTAAGGTGCCTGCCTGATATCAAGCGGCAGGGAGTTCCAAAGTTCCTGTGCTGCCACACGAAGGAACCACAAGGCTGGGCGGCACCCCAGAGGTCATCCAGCCCAACCCCGACTGCAATGCAGACTAAACAAGGATGTGCTGAAGCGCAGCACAGGTGCCTGCCTGATATCAAGTGGCAGGGAGTTCCAGAGTTCCTGTGCTGCCACACTAAGGGACCTCAGAGCTGGGCGGTACCCCCAGAGGTCATCCAGCCCCACCACGACTGCAATGTGGACTAAAAAAGGATGTGCTGAAGCTTGCCTGATATCAAGTGGCAGGGAGTTCCAGAGCTCCTGTGCTGCCACACTAAGGAACCTCAGAGCTGGGCGGGACCCCCAGAGGTCATCCAGCCCAACCCCGACTGAAATGCGGACTAAATAAGGTTGTGCTGAAGCCTGCCTGATATCAAGTGGCAGGGAGTTCCAAAGTTCGTGTGCTGCCACACTAAGGGACCTCAGAGCTGAGTGGGACCCCCAGAGGTCATCCAGCCCAACCCCGACTGCAATGCGGACTAAACAAGGATGTGCTGAAGCGCAGCGAAAGTGCCTGCCTGATATCAAGTGCCAGGGAGTTCCAAAGTCCCTCAGCCCAACCCCCTGCCTGCATCGCGGACTAAACAAGGATGTGCTGAAGCGCAGCGAAGGTGCCTGCGTGATATCAAGTGTCAGGGAGTTCCAAAGTTCCTGTGCTGCCACATTAAGGGACCTCAGAGCCTGGCAGTTCCCCCAGAGGTCATCCAGCCCAACCCCAACTGCAATGTGGACTAAACAAGGATGTGCTGAAGCGCAGCAAAGGTGCCTGCCTGATATCAAGTGGCAGGGAGTTCCAAAGTTCCTGTGCTGCCACATTAAGGGACCTCAGAGCCTGGCAGTTCCCTCAGAGGTCATCCAGCCCAACCCCAACTGCAATGCGGACTAAACAAGGATGTGCTGAAGCGCAGCAAAGGTGCCTGCCTGATATCAAGTGTCAGGGAGTTCCAAAGTTCCTGTGCTGCCACATTAAGGGACCTCAGAGCCTGGCAGTTCCCCCAGAGGTCATCCAGCCCAACCCCAACTGCAATGCGGACTAAACAAGGATGTGCTGAAGCGCAGCAAAGGTGCCTGCCTGATATCAAGTGGCAGGGAGTTCCAAAGTTTCTGTGCTGCCACAATAAGGGACCTCTGAGCTGTTTGGGACCCCCAGAGGTCATCCAGCCCAACCCCGACTGCAATGCAGACTAAAAAAAGATGTGCTGAAGCTTGCCTGATATTAAGTGGCAGGGAGTTTCAGAGTTGTCCCAGAGAGGGGGTAATGACAATAAAGATTATTATTATTCCTGTGCTACCACACTAAGGAGCCTCAGGGACCCCCAGAGGTCATCCAGCCCAACCCCAACTGCAATGCGGACTAAAAAAGGATGTGCTGAAGCGCAGCGAAAGTGCCTGCCTGATATCAAGTGCCAGGGAGTTCCAAAGTCCCTCAGCCCAACCCCCTGCCTGCATTGTGGACTAAACAAGGATGTGCTGAAGCGCAGCGAAGGTGCCTGCGTGATATCAAGTGGCAGGGAGTTCCAAAGTTCCTGTGCTGCCACAGTAAGGAGCCTCAGGGACCCCCAGACGTCATCCAGCCCAGCCCCCCGACTGCAATGGGACTAAACAAGGATGTGCTGAAGAGCAGCAAAGGTGCCTGCCTGATATCAAGTGGCAGGGAGTTCCAAGGTTCCTGTGCTGCCACGCTAAAGAACCTCAGAGCCTGGCAGTTCCCTCAGAGGTCATCCAGCCCAACCCCAACTGCAATGCGGACTAAACAAGGATGTGCTGAAGCGCAGCAAAGGTGCCTGCCTGATATCAAGTGTCAGGGAGTTCCAAAGTTCCTGTGCTGCCACATTAAGGGACCTCAGAGCCTGGCAGTTCCCCCAGAGGTCATCCAGCCCAACCCCAACTGCAATGCGGACTAAACAAGGATGTGCTGAAGCGCAGCAAAGGTGCCTGCCTGATATCAAGTGGCAGGGAGTTCCAAAGTTTCTGTGCTGCCACAATAAGGGACCTCTGAGCTGTTTGGGACCCCCAGAGGTCATCCAGCCCAACCCCGACTGCAATGCAGACTAAAAAAAGATGTGCTGAAGCTTGCCTGATATTAAGTGGCAGGGAGTTTCAGAGTTGTCCCAGAGAGGGGGTAATGACAATAAAGATTATTATTATTCCTGTGCTACCACACTAAGGAGCCTCAGGGACCCCCAGAGGTCATCCAGCCCAACCCCAACTGCAATGCGGACTAAAAAAGGATGTGCTGAAGCGCAGCGAAAGTGCCTGCCTGATATCAAGTGCCAGGGAGTTCCAAAGTCCCTCAGCCCAACCCCCTGCCTGCATTGCGGACTAAACAAGGATGTGCTGAAGCGCAGCGAAGGTGCCTGCGTGATATCAAGTGGCAGGGAGTTCCAAAGTTCCTGTGCTGCCACAGTAAGGAGCCTCAGGGACCCCCAGACGTCATCCAGCCCAGCCCCCCGACTGCAATGGGACTAAACAAGGATGTGCTGAAGCGCAGCAAAGGTGCCTGCCTGATATCAAGTGGCAGGCAGTTCCAAAGTTCCTCAGCCCAACCCCAACTGCAATGCGGACTAAACAAGGATGTGCTGAAGAGCAGCAAAGGTGCCTGCCTGATATCAAGTGGCAGGGAGTTCCAAGGTTCCTGTGCTGCCACGCTAAAGAACCTCAGAGCTGGGTGGGTACCCCAGAGGTCATCCAGCCCAACCCCGACTGCAATGCGGGCGCCAAAGCCTTTTTCCTTTTCCTTTTCTTTTTCCTTTTCTTTCCCCAAAGAAGCAGGCCATAAATTAGCGCTTTCTTTCTCTCTATCCGCCCCCCCCAATTCTCTCCGTCCCCCCCCCGGTCCCCAAAAGGCGCCCCCGCCTCAGCGACCCACCCGGGCATGAGCCCCGGCGGCACGTAGGCCGCGTTGTACTGGGTCAGGAGGGTCCCGGCGCTGCGCGAAGCCATGGCCGCTCTGCTCCTTCGTCGGCCGGGCAAGGGAGGCCGAGGCTTCAGGGAGGCAAGTAGGCCGCGGCGGTCACAAACCCGTCGCCATGGCAACGGGGAGGGCGGGGCGGGAGGCCGGGGAGCCGCGCAGGCGCAGAAGGGAGAGAAATGCGCTCAAGTCACAGCTGCTGTTTCCCAATGAGAATTATTATTATTATTATTATTATTATTATTATTATTATTATTATTAGTGTGATATACTATTATAGTTTATCACATTGTTATTTATTGTTTGTAAGCCAATATGGGATTCGTTTGAATGAAAAGCAGCACAGAAATACATTAAATCAAATTATTATTATTATTATTATTATTATTATTATTATTATTATTATTATTATTATTATTGCTGTATTCGTGATATTCTATTATATCTATTATATGTGATATTCACATTGTTATTTATTGTTTGTAAGCCAATTTGGGATTCATCTGAATGAAAAGCAGAACAGAAATACAATAAATCAAATCAACTCAAATCAAAATTATTATTATTATTATTATTATTATTGCTGTATGTGTGATAGATACACTATTCTAGTTTATGACGTTGTTATTTATTGTTTGTAAGCAAATTTGGGATTCATTTGAATGAAAAGCAACACAGAAATACAATAAATCAAATCAAAATTATTATTATTATTATTGGCATTTCTTCATTCGCAATAAAGTATACAGATGCCAACAGCAAATAATACTAATTGCATTTTTTTTAAAAAAAAATCCTACATTCTCAATAAAGGATGCCACTAGCACTGATTATTTGTAGCATTTCAAAATTATTTCCTTTCATTTATATATTCGTAGCAAGGCTGCCGAAAGCAATAACTGTTATCAAATTGCATTTCCTTATTTTAATTTTTTACTTTATTGACATATTTGCCATACAGATGTCAACAGCAACAACATATGTTTGTTGGTTTATTTATTTTACATATTCATAATAAAGCATAACCAGGTACTGTATTTCGAACGATTGCTATCAATAACGAGTGTAAAATAAAAATTTGAAAAACAATCCTTTAATTGCAAGGAAGGGTCAGCCGGCATAGATTTTATTTTTAAAAAATAATAATAATTAAAATAGGGGAAGTCCAGGGGAGGAGGGGGGAAATATGGAAAATTGTTAGAGAAATATTGTTAGGGGGTGTATACATGGAAAAGGCAATAAAAAGTATTTAAAAATAATAATAATTAAAACAGCGCACTCAGAGCATGATCCTCAATCTCAGGGTCTTGGATTCGAGTTTCGTGATAAGACGTCAAAGGAGATTTTAATGACAGGATTATCACCTGGTGGGGTTTTTTTACGGGGAAATTGGCAAAATGTCTGGGTTTTGGGGCGGTTTTCTATCACGGTGATGAAATGCTTTCACTAACTACTCCCTTAAAGAGTGCTTAATAGAGGAGTTTGGCGAAATATCTGCGTACAAGACGAACCTGAGAAATCCCGAAATTATGGGAATAAATTGGAGCAAATTTGATGAAAGCAAGCGGAATACTTTGGATGGTTAAGCCGATGAAATATTGAGGAATCTGGTTGTCGTCAAACACAGACGAGCTGTTTAAATTAAATTATGAACCGGTGATGGTTGCGGTGGGGAAATAATTGTTTTAAAAATGGTCCCAAATTGGACTCTCTTGGGTATTATTGAACAGGCAAAAACTACTTGCAAACTTTGTGTGGAATGCATAAAAAAGCTCCTGTTCCCATGGCAACCTTGGGGAAAAGCTACAATGGGAAAAAAATTTCTGAACATAACATATCATCATAAAGCTACACATGTAGAAGTAATAACCCAATGGCTGGATGTCTCACAGGTATATCTGAGAGAGCTGTGTTAAAATCCCGCTAGCAATTATTCCATGGTACAGTAAAAAGAGAAAGGACAATGGATTTTTATTAATTTTTTGCAAAATGTAATCCTTGTATAGATGGAATCCTATATGTTTGGAACAGCTGACAGATGTTGTTAATCTCTAAGATGTATTTGCTTGCATTTTTAAAAAGCAATTTTTAACAGAGATTTTAAGATTGCAGGCCAAATATCTAATTGGATAAACAATAAAGAAAGAAATCACAAATAACAGTTGTTGCAAAACCATGACGGGATGGGGTCCAATCCTGCAAAGGTTTCAATACAGAGAACTGAGAAGTTATATAGAATATGATATAAAGAGAGGGCAACGATCAAGTTTCAAAGAAATATCCAAAGAGGGGTTCTGTAAAAAATATTTGTTTTCCTGGATGCATTGAAATCACATTTGGGCTCACGCTTTAAGCGGAAATGGGTAAAAAATAATACGCAGACCAATTTCTGAACAAAAATAAAGAACTTTTTGAAAACTCGGGAACCGACATGGTCTCTTTGTGTCTACATTCGTGAAAATCATTACAAACTGCTCTGGAAATTCCTGCATATCGGGGTTGGACTGGATGACCCTTGGGGTCCCTTTTACAATTCTATGATTCTGTGGTATATGATTCCACAAAGACTGAGTAAAATTGACATTCTCTCTGATGGAAAGTGATGACGATGTGGCTGTTGGAAGGCGGATATGGGACAGAGAAGGTGGACCTGTCCGATCATTTAATAATAATAATAATAATAATATGAATAATAATAATAATAATATGGATTGAGGAAATATAAGTGTAAATGTATGGGGGGATTGGGAAGAAATGGTGTTGGCTTTGGTACATCTGTATTGTAATGTAATATGAAAAAACCAACAATAAAATAATAATAATAATAATAATAATAATAATAATAATAATAATAATAATAATAATATATTTATACCCCACCCATCTGGCTGGGTTTCCCCAGCCACTCTGGGCGGCTTCCAACAAAATGTTAAAATACTGTAATGCATCAAACATTAAAAGCTTCCCTAAACAGGGCTGCCTTCAGATTAAAATATTTTGGGGAGAGGCAGTAAAGATAATATCAATAATACACAAACTCAGGATTTGTCATTTGTCTATTCCTTTCTGGCACATCACTCACTTTGGGGAGTTGATTTCCCAGTGTGATAAATCCATACAATATATTTGCAAGGAGTTTCATACCAATCGGTCCTCCTTGCCTTTCTTGCTACTTATTCATGGTTGCCATCTGTCCTCTTTTTCTAGGACATGTCCGCTTTTCCAGGGGTAAAATTTCCAGGTGGGTTTTTTAAATTTGCCCAAAAATCTCTGGCTATACTTTCAGGATAAGACCTTGACATAACTTGGGGCTGAAGACTTGCTTTCCTCTTCTCTTCTCCTGCCCTTCTCAGCAATATATCACAGCTATACAGTGGTGCCTTGGTTCTCAAACGCCTTGGTTCCGAAACACCAAAAAACCCAGAAGTAAGTGTTGTAAGGCTGTATATTGTCTCCCTGTTTGTTTAACTTATATGCAGAATTCATCATGCGAAAGGCTGGGCTGGATGAATCACAAGCCGGAATTAAGATCGCCGGAAGAAATATCAACAACCTCAGATATGCAGATGACACAACCTTGATGGCAGAAAGTGAGGAGGAATTAAAGAAACTTTTAATGAGAGTGAAAGAGGAGAGCGCAAAATATGGTCAGAAGCTCAACATAAAAAAAAACGAAGATCATGACCACTGGGCCCATCACCTCCTGGCAAATAGAAGGGGAAGAAATGGAGGCAGTGAGAGATTTTACTTTCTTGGGCTCCATGATCACTGCAGATGGTGACAGCAGTCACAAAATTAAAAGACACCTGCTTCTTGGGAGAAAAGCAATGACAAACCTAGACAGCATCTTAAAAAGCAGAGACATCACCTTGCCAACAAAGGTCCGTATAGTTAAAGCTCTGGTTTTCCCAGTAGTGATGTATGGAAGTGAGAGCTGGACCATAAAGAAGGCTGATCGCCGAAGAATGGATGCTTTTGGATTTTGGTGCTAGAGGAGACTCTTGATCATGGACTGCAAGAAGATCCAACCTCTCCATTCTGAAGGAAATCAGCCATGAGTGCTCACTGGGAGGACAGATCCTGAAGCTGAGGCTCCAATACTTTGGCGACCTCATGAGAAGAGAAGACTTCCTGGAAAAGACCCTGATGTTGGGAAAGATGGAGGGCACAAGGAGAAGGGGACGACAGAGGACAAGATGGTGGGACAGTGTTCTCGAAGCGACCAGCATGAGTTTGACCAAACTGCGGGATGCAGTGGAGGACAGAGGTGCCTGGTGTGCTCTGGTCCAGGGGGTCAGGAAGAGGCAGACACGACTAAACGACTAAACAACAACAACATATCCTACAGACACTGCAGTCTCTGCTGACCTTCATTCTAAAGAAACCAAACTCTGGTGACCCCGGATTCTCTCGCCCCTTGGCAATTGGGTGTGTGCAGGGGCGTAGGAAAGGGGGGGCGGTTCACCCCAGGTGCCATCATGGAGGGGGGTGACAAATTATAGAGGAACAATTACTGCCCTACTAGGGCGGTCCATTAGAAACATTTATTTATTTTTTGAAAAATGCCTGCTCCAAAGGTCTTACGTTTACTAGCCTAGGGATTATATAGCTACACATGAAATTTCATGCATATCAGTTAATATCTTTTCCCTCCTCCACGAAAACAGCTGTGTCCTTGGCCATTTTCCAATGTCGTGAAGGCTGAAATTTCAGCAAAGCCCGTGCCTTTGCTAGACTGTTTTTGGGCACCTGCTAAAAGCATTCTTCTTTAGGCAAGCATACCTAGATGCTTAGGAAGTTGAAGTAATTTTAATCATAATATTTTAACTTTCGTATGTTTTAAAAGTAGGATTGTTAATTTTTCTTGATTTTACTCCTGGGGTGCTTGTTTGTTTTTTGTTTTGGTAAACCACTTTGCAGGTTTTTTAAAATAGATTTTATTAAATAAATAATAAATAAACAATAAATATAAATAAAATAACACAAGCCGAAACACAATCCATCCTGTAGATTTAAGTATCTGTCCGTAGTCGCCTACTTGTTATCAGAGGCTCAGAATCCACATTCCTTTGTAAGAAAATAGGAAATAACGTAAAACCATTT